AGAGCTTCAGCAGTGTAAGCTCATGGGTCCTGGTTCATCCACCGCCGTGTGCTGTGCTCTGCAGTGGTGTGTCAGCACCGGGCTTTCTTAAGTTGGTGGAAGGATCCCTCTGCCTGGAGATCTATATCTGACACTGACCTTGGAAAGCCTAAGGACAGGTATCATGTATTGGGAGAAAGTCTGGCTACAGTACAGTCCACTGTACTGTTGACATTCCCTCTTGGTTGGCCTTTCTGCTGCACTGCTCATCCAGATCTCTGGCCTTGGCAATGATCTGGGAAGAGGAAGTAGTTCCAGCTTCCGCAGATGGACAGATTATCTTTTTGCACTCTTGATTTCTTTTGCTGCACCTCTTGCTGGGTTGTTGCATCTCTGTATATGCTGTCCTACTATCGCAGGAGCCCCCAAAGCAGGAGTTACTTGCAGAGCAGGACCATGTCTAAATTTGAATTCAGAAAGGTGGAGATTGCTGTCTGGAAAGGACCCTCAGTTCAGAGCATGTGTCTAGCCTGAGCCTAGGCGACCCCAACATCAGGATCTGTGTGACTAATATGGAAATTCCTGCTATGGGGAAAGGAGGGTCTTTCTTCCGGCCTCTACAGGGGCATGAGGCAGTGGGATTGCTTGCTGAGGAGAAATGACAGTTTTGTGTGCAAGGGAATAGGCCAGTGTAGATTTGTGTGTGAAATAAAGAAGCAGCACACGTGGCCCTGTGGTTACTGGCCTGTCCCTCCCTTTGCAGGCAGAGCTTGCATAAGAGCACCAGCCTGGCAGCAAGACAGGAGGAAGCAAAAACATTGGGTGTGACTAGTTTCACTTACGTTTATTCAGCCCAAGGCTGAATTTGGGATGTGTTTGGGATGTGTTGGCTGTGTTTGGGATGATGGAGTTTGCTGCTCCTCCTTCCACCTGCTGTATTGCTCCCTACAGACATGCTAAATCTCATGGGTCTGCTACAATTGCTTCCAGGGTGACAGCAGAGCAACAAACTCCTTCACCTCTCCTCTGCATCTGGTTAGAAGAAACCAGTCTCACAGCGTAGTATCAACGGAGTACAGCAGGCACGACTGGCTGCAAAGCAGAGCTGCTCAGCTCGCAGGTCACGCTGGAGCTGGCCCAGCCCCAAGGCCTGTTGTGAGCTGTCTTGAGCATGTCTCTTCCTCTTCTCTTCTTGCTCCTGTTTCCTTGCAGATTCCATCCCTGAAGTATCCCTCGCTCACTTCCTTCCTCATTGGCTGAATCACTGTGGCCAAGGCCTGGCTGTTTGTAGCTGGAGCTCGGCAGCTTGTAGACCTGCTTCTAGAGGCTTCTTTTAGGCAAGAGCTAGCAGGCTTTTGAGTGGACCATGATCCCACCACTGCTGTCCAGTGCTTGAACACCTCAGTGATCCCTCTTAGTTTCTCAAATTTTCAGTGGAGATTTTCACCCCAGGACCTCAGATATCTTGTCACGGCTGCACCCTGCAGCTGGCCTGTTAACACCTGCATTGAGCATTTGTTTCCCTGTATTGCTTGTGTGCCCCCAGAATTGGGGGCAGCTGGAATGGCAGCTCACAACAGCATTTCCCCAAAATGTGTCAAATGTGCAGAACTCTAGAGAGGTGAGTGGCGCTGGCCCTCCTCTGTGCTGGCTGTATTTGTTTGTAAGGTTATCACTTTTGTCACCTGGGAGGAAACCTCAGTCAAGAAACCTCATATAAGCCAGAGCCTAGAGAGCAGACTTTTCTGTTTCCCTTTCTGCCAGGTCTTTGCCCTGTCACAGGCTGCCATTCATGTTCTCGCCTTTTTTCAACTAAGATCAGGCACAATCTTTAGTGTCTTCTCCAACCACAACCAGCTTACTGTGTGCTAAACCAAGGGCTATTACGAGCAACTGGGAGCATCTGTGGGGTGTGCAATGATCTGAGCACAGAGCAGATGCCTTAGGTATATTGGAGGTGCCCTATACAGATATATAAAATATATGTATATTGCATACACTTTACTAGAGTTCTCACTGTTCAGTTTAGGCCGCTCTGCGTTTCTGGTCCATTTCATTTCCCTCTGTGATCTTCTATTTTTAAACATATTTTTCCTGTGACTGATTTTCCAACTAACTCCTCCTGTCCCCTGTCCCTCCCATTTTCCTCAAACTGGTAGCAGAACACATGCATGGGCAGGGTGAATCATGGCTTCAAGAGTTTTAATCATTTCCTACCTGTTCTTGCCCTGAGCAGCAGCTCAGTAAATGCAGCTCGTATGTTCCCTGGTGATATTTTGGCCTCTGACTCGCTGGCTACTACTGCCCATTTCCCCTGAATTGATTTTGGATGTGTTTGGATGCACACATCACTCTGCTAGAGCCAGTGCTACACTGAGCAGGTGGGCTCGTTCCTACACTCCTGCTGCATGTTCCCAGGCACTGCTTGCTTGCAGGCTAGCCTGCTTTCAGTTTATGACCAGCTGTGACCCTTGCTTCTTGCTGCAAAAATGCAACCAGGGCAAATACTTTCCACTGCACACTGAGCTCTTTCTTGCATCTTGGCTTCCTACATTTCCCCTGGGGTTTTCTGCCCATTCCTCCTATTTGCCCAAACTCTCCTCAGTCATCAGCCTTTCCCACAGTCTGCTGGCTCTGTGTCCTTAATACCTAGACCCTCCGGTCCCTCTCATGGATATCAATGAAGATCGCAGAGAAATGAATCCAGATCAGACCTCACGAGCCCCACACTTCATCTGTCCATTTTAATACAGAATCACTGCTATTTTCTCATGTGCAAATCACATTTATACCCTGCACATAAGAGTGTTGTCTGAAAACAGATTTCCTTAGTTTTTAATGAAAATGCCATATAAGCCTGAGCCTGGATAACAAACTTTTCTATTTCCCTGTCTGCCAGGTGTTTGCCCTGTCACAGGCTGCCATTAATGTTCTCAACGTTTTTCAAGTGCTTAGAAATACTTTTATTAGATTGTTTGCTCACATACTTTTCAGGGACTTAAACTGTAATTCCCCCTCTTCTAAGGACAGGCTGTGTTGGTCCTTCCCAGCCACTGTGAGCCCCAGCGCTGGGTGAGGCGGAGGCACTGGCTTTGCCATAGCTAGGTCCTTCCATGTTCTGGGCTGAAGCTCCTGAAGTCCAGCTGACGTAAAAACTGTTGTGTTTTTCCCCATCGTGTCTCTTGTTGCTGGAGGAGGAGCTCTCAGCTCCTTGCAAACACAGCTGCTATGTTTAGCCACAGGCAAGCTTTTTCAGCAAAGGCTGCTGGGAAGAAGACATTAAATTACTTGACCCTCTTGGTTTTCCATTTGCCCTGGAGAAAAAAAAAAAAAAAAAAGAAAGGAAAACACTCTTTGTTCTGCACAAAACAATTTTTTGGCTTCTGGTGGTAATGGTGGCAAACAGCAGCTTCATTCAATTTTTTCTTCCTGTGAGCACAGGCCAGCACTTCTACCCCCGCGCTTCCATTGCCTGTGCTGTGAGTGGCTTCAATATCCTGTGGACAGCCACAGTTTCATACTCCCTATCTCCCTGTGCAGGACAGCACTGAGCCTTCTTAGTTTCTCAGACTCTGAAGGGAGACTTGCACTGCACATCCCCAGGAGTCCTTTCACCACTAAACATCTGCCTGGTGTATTTGCATTCCCCTTGAGCACAGTTTCCCGTACTGCTTGCCTGTCCAGGAGGTGCTCCCTTCCTTAGGTGCTGGATCCACGAGGAGAGCCAAGGCCGTGGTCCCATGGCCTTTGACTGTAGCGTGGCTCCCAGCAGTGCACTCTATACTGGGTGGCCATCATGGTTTGGGGCAGCTCTTTCCAAATTTTCTGGGGAGGGCTGTGGCCAGGCTGCTCCGTTTTTAACTAGACCAGCACATCAGCTGGGGGCAAGTTGGACTGGAGACCTCCAGACATCCCTGACAGTAGCACTGCTATGACAGCCTGCACACTGAAATTGCCTTGCAAAGGAGGGATCTCTATGCTCAAGCATTGCCTGTCCCTCAGATTGCTTTGTTCTGTACTGAATAATGGGAAATGCACCAATTCCTGTAAAGTGCAGCCAATTTCCCCAGCTAGAGTCAAAACAGAGAGACATCTTCTGTATCATCTGTTTGAAAATATCTTTCTTCAAGTTTCATTTCTACGTGAAGGCCCATCCTGCTCCTGTTCCTAGCCTCAGCTTGACAGTATGATTCATTGGCCAAAGTTAAAGGAAAATTGTTACAAAGATGAAGTAGATCTGAAGCAACAGTTTTCAGAAATGCTCTAAGCACCGCAGCAGCCCACGTGGCCAGTGCGTGGTGCCTGCAGCCACAGACAACATGCTCAACTGCCTTTGCAAAGAATGGGGCCCATCTGTGTGGGAGAGCACGCTGGATACTACAGTCCATCCTGGAGCTGTGGTAATTTAGCTGCTGCCTTGCCCAGGGCTGAGGTTGCCACAGCGAAGTGCAGTCCCAACCTGCTGGTGCTCTTCTCTTCCGCCGCATGCTCAGCACAGCCGGGGCACAATGCCCAGCCCAGCACAGCCTGGGGTGGCATGGGATGTTGCTACAGGGGCAAGTGGGGCCCCCTGTGAGTGAGAGGAATAGAGGTGCCTGTGTGCTTGTAAGGAGCGATGGCACTCTGGACACTGCCCCTTACTAGCTCTCCACAATCCCCCTTGGACCTGGCCTCTACCGTGGGCACTGTTGCTCTGTCTGGCCTCAGTTGCAGATGGGCAAGCTCAGCTTGGCATATGGGGAGACACACAATGGAAGTAGCCTGGGCCAGACAGGGCAGAGCATCGGTCCAGCCAGGAGCGGATGGCAGCAGAGCTGGGATGCCTGTGCCCTCACCTACAGCAGCAAAGCTGGGAGATACTGGACCATGATGGGCAATGGGTGTTAGGGAGAGGGTTGTCCCCAACAGCAGGTCAGTCAGCCTATGCATGCTGAAGAACTGCCAGCAGCGTGGGTCTCTGGTTGGGCGAGAACTTAACCGCGGCTAAAAGCAGAAGTGAAAGGCACACAGAAGTGAAAACTGAGACCAGAGCAGCTTCCCACGAGCTCCAGTCTCAGCAGAGCACCCTAAAGGGCTAAGCAGTACTACCATGGAGCCCCTATCCTTCCAGGAATACATCTGCTCCCTGAAACCCACTGTACTGCCTCGCATCCTCAGGATTTGCTCCGGGGTCTACTTCCAAGGTGAGTGCTGGGTCCCTGCTGCCTCTGAGCCATGCCTGAAGGCTGTGCCACCTCCTGGCTCCCCCTGCATCACTGCAGGCTCCCTTGTCCCACCTCAAAGCTGGAAGTCCCATCAGGGCTCCCAGGAGCGCCTGGACCCCTGCCACCAGGTGCCCATGACCAGGGAGAGGCACAGATCTTTGCGCAATTGCTGCATAAGCAGCCACTGTCAAGGAACTGGTGGATGAAGTACAGCTGCTTGCTAAAGACCTTCTTTCCTATGGCCAGCAGCCAGCCAAGTACCCCATACATGCAATTGTAGGGCTGCTAGAAAAGTGGTGTGTTTTGTTTTTTTTTTTTTTGGGGGGGGGGGCACACCAAAACTCATCCAAATTGGTCTTCCATCCCATGCACAGCTCTCATCCCAAAGGCGGCCGGCAGTGACTCACATGCTGGCCATGGATCTGGCAGGGACAGAGCCACTCAGCCAGTTGCCAGAGGATGGTGGGATGGGGTGGCTCCTGGGCCCCATGAGCTGAGCGTGGCAAGAGCACTGACAGCAGCCTCACAATCTGGTCTGCAGCTCGCTGCTTCTTCCTGGGGCATATCACTGGGCAGATTTTTGGGTCGAGGTGAAGTCTGACCAAGGCAGGTTCCTCAACTGGCAGCAAAGCTAGGGTGGAAATGGAGCTAGCATGAAACATATGTAGGAGTTGGGAGCGCACAGCCAGCCCATACCCTGCAAAGCAGCAAATGCTGATAGATATTATGAACAGCAAAGCAATGATTACCCTTAGGACCTGTAGGATTTGTAGCACTTGTTTAGGTTTCATTGACTTTTAAAGAGCAGGCAAAGCAGTTGTGTTGATCAAATTCTTTTCCTGTAGCTCAATTAGAATGGATGTTTAGCTTTCCCAAGGCTTCCCTTGCCTTTGATAACATTTCAAAGTTGCTAAATGAGTAAAAATGCCATTGGTCAGTCAAACAGCAACAGTTAATCTGTTTAGCAATTGCTGGTAGTGGTGGTGAGGTAGCTGGTGCTTTCCATAGCCGGGGTGGGGGGGTCTGTCATCATCCCAGTGAGGAGAGACATTTTGGTCTGCAGAAGGTTCTGTAGCAGCTTAATGAATTCAGAGATTTAAGTGCCGAAGGGGCTATTGCTTGTGTGGGATGGTGCGGTGTCATGGTATCATACCCTGAGGAGTGCTTGCGCCAGGAAAGACAGCCCATCCCAGGGCAGAACTGTCCCATCCCCTCCCAGAGTGACCAAGCACTGAATCTTTCCTGATGCTTGGAAAGAGTTTTTTATTTGAATTTCATCATTTTGGCTTCCAGCCATTGATTCTGTTATACACTTCTGCATTGCTTTTCTTCTCCGTTATGACCCCTACACAGTTTTCAGCACTGAGGCTTTCCAGGATATAGGCTGTACAAGCTTCCTAGTATTATTTATTCCTTAAAAATAAGCATTGGCCAGCAAAAGCCCTCTCAGCCAGCTCTTCCTTTTCTTGGCTGCTGGCAAATGGTGTTTGACCTCATGGATAGATTAGAGTGCATTGGGGATTAATCAGTTTTGCACCTTGCAAATATGCCATCCTGCACAGTGATACTATTTCTTGAACACTTCTTTATTTGCTGCCATTGCTAATCATATTATTTCTGGTTTCTGCCAGCTTTTTTGGTTAGCAAAATTTTGGGGAGTGCCCTCAAAATTTTAAGCAAACCTCCTGTTGTCCTCAGCCCTTTCTTAGGCTGCTTTCCTAGCCAGGAGCACTTCCATGCCCTCAGCATCCTTGATCATGTTCTGTATGGATCGCACCTGTCTCTCTGGTTCCGCCGTGTGTGCTTTACCTGGGCAGTGCAGGACCAGCCAGTGCTCACAGCCATCCCTCGGCTCTGCACGGCTGCTCCAGCACAAGGCCTGGCCTGGGCAGGCAGTATCTCACTGCACGGACCCTTTTCAAGGCTTTTCAAGCATCTCATTGCCATCCAATGAGGCCAACCATGCCGTGTGTGTGGAGTTGCATGGCGGAGGGGTCTCTGCAACTGCCCACACAATCCCGTGCTCTGGGCAACAGAGCCCAGCTGCACGTTTGCTTCCTTTTGCAATAATGTCGTTGATGCCATTATGGTGCCACAGCACATGGGGAAGGGATTAGGTCTTGCAGACTGTGCAGTGCTTTCCCAAACCTCCCAGCTTTCACTTCTCTATTCCTGGTTAATTTTTTCCACACTTACTTACTTTCACTTTGAATTTCCCCCCACTCAGGAGCAAGTGGTCCCAGATGTAACGGAGCCATCCCACATAGTTGTTCCCATCTGCACTGTGCAGACAAGTGATCACTGTCGTGGCAATTCCTGGCACATCATCTGTCCCACTTCTGGTGGGAGGGGGACCCCAAATGGTCTCTAACTGTATAGCCATCGATCGCTGCATCTCTCATGCCCAGCCCTGCCAGTGTTGCCCTATGTGTCAGGACCCTAAACCAGCATATTTGCACCATAGTGTTTTTGTTTTCTCACCTGCATGTGGGGGGTCACCAAAGCTGCCAGCTTGCCTGGTTCGTTCATGTGACTCCCTGTCAGCCCCATCTCTGAGCCTAAGGACCAATTCTGCTTGTCCCCAAACAGCTGCCATCCTTTCCTTCCCCTTCTCCATCAGCCCCATCCCCTCAGCCCGCTTTAGAAATCCTTGGGGGCTGGAGGGTCCCCTTTGTCCCAGCACAGCCATGGTGCTATGCTAGTCACAGGCCACAGTAGGACATCTGACGTGGGAGCCAGCTCCCTCAGGGACATTCAGCCTCTGGGGTGCCAAAAGTGGTGCCCCAGCAGTGATTCCACGCTGCATGGGCAATTTTCTTGGCCCAGCCTTTTCAGACAGATCTTCCACAGAGAGTAGATCCGTCTATCAGCTGAAAAGGCAGTGCCGTTCACAGACAACAGTTTTTACTTGTCCTTTGTACCCAACAGTGTCTGGCTCCCTCCAGAGTCTTTCCTGCCCGCAGGCAGAGCTAAATGGGTGGTTAGAGCCAGAGACATGGCATGCTGGGACACCAGCAAAAAGGTTTAGCTGTGCAGATAGCCGTGTGGATTAAGGCACGTCCACGTGCGTTCACACCAGCAGGAGCCTCGAACATGTGGCTCTTGTTACCTCAGTTCCTAGAAAGGACAAAAATTGTTGCTAGTATCAGGCCACAGTTGGCCCCACAAACACAGGCTGCCTCCCAGCTGCCACGGGGGTGTCATTACAACTGGCCAAGGGCTGGTCTGCCCAACACAGCACAGGGCCTGGCCGCTGTGCATGCAACATTTGTTAATGATAGCCAGCCTGCTCAGACCGTTCATGATGTGCATTGGATGGGAGTGTGCGGCACCAGCAGCTAGTCTGATGAAACAGCGCAGGCTAGTTTACTTTTTCACCCAAACAAGAAAAATTCAAAGCTCTGAATCTAAAGCCCATCGTTGTGCAGGTGATTAATAGAGATCAGCAACTGGTTAAAAAGGCTAGTAAAGGCATCGCCTTTGGGGAAATTTCTAACTGTGGCCAGAAGCTGGCCCAAGGGATGCCAGCCAGCCACCCCATACGAGGGAGCTCAGGCTCTCCTTGTGTGGGGTGAGTTGTGCTCCATGGTGCTCAGCCCCACCAGGTTACCAGCCAGTCCCATTCTCGTGCTGCAGCAGCAGCAGCAGCAGCAGCAGAGCTTGTGGCCTTGCGTGGCTTAGGGGCAATCTCTGCCCACTGGTTATTGTGGCATCTGGGTGAGGAAATACATCAGCAGGATAGAAATAACCCCAGTTTCTATCAGCTTGAAAATAGCAGCTGAGGTGGTTTAAGGGACATGAGTTTCTGCACTGTACCCTGGGGCTGTGAGCCAGCAGGTGTCTACCACTTCCCACAGGGTGACAGCTCCCTGGTCCCCTCCCAGCATCCTCCAGCCTGGCCAGAGAGAGAATGTGCTGCTGGGAAGCAGAAGACAAGCTCCAGCACTGCAAATGGAGCTACCTAAATAGTCCTGCAAAGGTACCCCAGTGACATGCAGAGCCCAGCCAGGCTGCCCAGGAAAGAACCGTCCTCCAGCCCTGGACCATTGTGGCTCCATGGCCCTGTTGCAGGGAGTAATTCTCCCCCCCCTCTTCCCCCAAACCCGAAGTTTTTTGGGGACAGCATGCAGGCTGAGCAGGGATTCTCCACAGCATTGCAGGTCTGGCTCTTGCTCAGACCAACAGCAACCACTGAATGGTCCTGTCCTCTCCTGCAGGGTCCGTGTATGAGATCTCAGGCAATGAATGCTGCTTATCAACTGGAGACTTCCTAAAAATCATTGCCATCAAGCTGCAGAATGTCATTTATGAGGATGTGGAGTCGGGGCAAAAAACAGAACTGCCACTGACCTTTAAAGGTGAGTGGGGCTGCCCTGGCACAGCCCACTGCTGCCAGGACCCAGGGCCCTGCGGGCACCCCAACGAGTCCCAGTCCCATGGGCCCTGTGCCCACTGCAAATGGCTGCACACCCCTATCCTCCCTTAACACCCCATCTCCTCTTCCCAGATTCCCACCGCATGCCCGAATTGCTCTGGGATACCACCCCAGCCCTTCTCCTCAACAGGGAAGCTTCTCATGTTGGGTGCTGGGCCCTCCTCCAGCATGTGACATGGATGCTATCATTCCCAGGGAGCCTTTCACAGCATCTGTGAGCTCAGCCTCATCTTCCTGCAGGTCTCTTCCAGCCCAGCCCAGACCCACGGCCGTATGCAAGCCTGGAGGAGCTGATCCAGAGCAACCGGAAGGCCCAGGAGGCTCAGCCGTTGTGCTTCATTTCGACTACTGACCTTGCTGTGGATGGGCAAGTTGTTCCCAAGGCGCAGCCCATCTTCCTGGAGGCACTGCAGGGGAGGAAGGCAGTCGTCCGCATGGCAGGCAACCATGGGGAGTTGCACTCACTCCGGCTGCCCCTTTCCCTGAGGGGTCGGTTCTTCAAGTGCGGCGGGCAGCGGGGCATCACGCTGCAAGAGGTGCTGGGGCTGCAGGGCAGCTGGCCGCAATGCCTGCTCTGTCCTGCGCTCAGCTCATCCCCCATCCTCTTGATCCCTGTCTACGAAGTGCAAGCCATCATGCACCGTGAGTCCTACCACGGGAACCAGGTGTGCGTGTGCCTGCGTGGGCTGGGGCAGACATGGCACGGCACCACTGCCACCAGCTGCACATCCCTTGCTGCATGGGAGCTGGCATGCACATGTGCTGGGGGCATGTCCATGGGCTTTGGGGCTGGGAGGAGAGGGGATGCTGAAAGCCAGTGCCACAGTAACCCAGGCAAGGTCTAGCCACCCAGGGACGGAGTTAAAAACCCAACTGCAGCTTAGAAAAGCATTGCCCACACCCTCAGCCTTGTGCGGGGGTTCCCAGGGCTTTAATTGGCACACTCGACACACAGGGTCAGCCAAAATAGCAGGAGTCACAGTGATGGACAAGTGTCTGGCACGAGGTGGTACTGGTCCTGCCAGCGACCCCTCAGCTTGACCAGGCCCCCACAACGTGGCACTGACGGGGGAAAGGCTGAGCACAGCCCTCAGTGCATCTCTTCTCCCTGCAGTGCGGAAAGACGTGGTGAAAATCCCCTCCACACTGGAAGTGGATGTGGAAGACGTCACAGAGGAGGCACAGGATGTCCATTTCATCAAGCCGCTGCTGCTTAGCGAGGTGCTGCAGATGGAGGATGCTCTCCCTGTCCGAGCCGAGATCCTAGAGGGGCCCAGCTCCCTAGCCATCTTCGAGAACAACTGGATTCCCCACCTACAGAAAGGCCAGCAGATCCAGATCCATGGCAAGGGCAGTGCCTGGAAAGTCCTTGCCTCGGCTCGCAAGGGCACTCGCCATTTCCTCCTCTCCAGCACATACCAGGGCAGGTTTCGGAGGCGTCCCAGGGAGTTCACCACAGTGTACGAGCTGGCCACCAGCCTGCAGGCTGGCCAGTGCCTGCGTGTGGTGGTCACACAGGACTGCGAGGGCCAAGAGGAGGACGTGCCCTCGCTCAGTGTGGGTGACCGGCTGGAAGTACAGCGCCTGCTCCAGGCCAGCACCAGCACCGTGCTGCTGTGCAACCGGAGCAGCAGCGAGGAAGAGGAGACAGAAGAACTGATACTGCCTTTAAACCTGGGAGGCAGCTTTGTGGAAGAGATATGCGACAGCAAGAAGTACAGTCTCACAGAGATCCTGGAGCAGCTCCCCCTGCCCTGCGACGTCAAAGTAGTGGCCAAGGACCCTTCGCTCACTCGTGATGTCCTCAGCTCCTTCTCTGCCTTGCGGCTGGAAGCACATATCACCGAGCCTTTCTTGGTCAGTAGCTTCTGTGAGGACCCAGACAAGAGCTTCGAGATCCCACCACGGTGGATGGACATGTCACTGTTCTTCATAAAGGAGCCTGTCCACCCACAGGCCCCCTCCACAGACTGGTCACGGGTCGAGGAGCTGAAGAGGCCTTTCTACTACCACTTGCTGAAGCAGCTACCAGGCAGTTCAGCTACCCCTCCACCACGGCCCCCCAAGAGGAAAGAGGTTGTGGCCAAGGCAGGCCTCAGGACAGCCAAAGGAACTGGCCCTGAGAAAGCAAAGGTATGGCACGATCCTGCCCAGGGGGTGGGAGGAGGGGATGATGCTCCAGAGGGAAGATGCTCTCAAACCCCACATCACTACCACCACCATTCCTGAGGCCCTGCCTTCACAGTTGAAAACCCAACTCATTTCTCTGCAGCCACCTTCCGGGCCCAAGTCTCCCTTGCCCCAGAAAGCAAGAAGCCCCTTCATCATGCAGAGCATCCCGAACGAGTACAGCATGCACCTCCACTTGCAGAAAGCATCCCTGTCAAGCAAGGCCCCAAAGGACAAACGTGAGGCCATCACGGTGATGTGCTCCCAGCACAGCTCCTCACCATTTAAACCTCAGCAGAAGTCCTCCCAGCCCACTGCAGGTATTAAGCATGGACTTTAATCTGCCATGCTTCATTGTCACAGTGCATTTACACAGTCTTTCTGTACTACTCACAGTCTTTCTGTACTATTATGTTTTAGGTGTGGAGAACAGCGATTCTGACCACGACTATGAAATAGTTGATGAAGCTCTTCAAAAGACAATTTGTAAAATGCAGACTATCTTTCCTTTCTAAAGCTCCTTTTTCTGGGAGTCTCCAAATATTCTTAGTTCCCAAATTAAACTTTTTATTTGCAGAGGCTAAATACAGCCAAAGGGATCCACAGAGCAGCCTCCAGCTGCCTCTATTGTAACAGATACATCAATCCCACTTTCTCTCTCACGTGAGCAGTCTGTATGCCCACGGGACAGCTATGCAGGCAGAATACATACCCTTGCTGTACCCTAGCTGGCTGTTGTGCTACAGACTGCCCACAGCTGTCCCAGGTGGAATCCTCCATCTGCACCAGACCAACATACAGAGGGGGGAAATCCATCCTAGGGAGTAAGCAGTCATCAAGATGCCATTGAGTCACCAGCCAAGGCCCTTGGATATGTATCTTGCTCTGCTCCACTACATTAACATCATTGAGACACTTTATGCATGTAGCTTGAATAAGATCCTAAATGGCAGATATGCCACGTTTATGCCCATTTCAGACTGAAAACTTCTAGGACTAATACCTTTATTGTATTTGTATGCCATTCATGCTCCCTTTGCTAGGGGCTACCAGAGGCTCTTGAAACACCCACCAATGGCTTTCTCCACATGCCCTTGCGCCCATCAGCTAAGGCACAGCAATCCACCTGACTGCTGCCTTGCATTACCAGGAGCACGCTTTAGACACCAGTAACGCCAACACAGGACAATTTCCAAACCTAGCAGCTTAAAGCTAGAGCACATGCATTTGGGAAGATGCTGAGCAACTGCAGTGGGATTCCTGGGAACTCAGCATCCTTTTAAGTGCCTAACCATGGAGCTCAGGAGACCAGGTTTATAGCTTGGGATTCTGAACACTTCCACACAGACATGGTTTGGCACATGGCATCGGGAGGGGTATTACAAAGTACTTTGCACAACGCAAACAATACCCCATCTAGGGCTCAAACTGGTGATTCACACATTTTTACAATTGTACATTCATTCCACTTTAAAAAAAAAAAAAAAAACCACTTTCACAGACAGAAGCTGCATTTTCTCAGTGCTAGCCAAACTCACTTCTCACTCTGGCCTAATTTCTCAACAAGGCTGCAAAAAGGTTGCAGTTTTAAGTTTTAAGCTGGAAAATAAATTTGAAATTTCATTTGAGATAAAATTGTTTTTTCCTACTCCCAGTAAAGAGTAGTTTGAGGTTCAACAGTTCTTTTGTTCACATCATTCGTCACTTGGAATCTGGGCGGAGTTCAAAAAGTTGCAGAGAGGACCTCATTCATTCAAGTCTCAGCCTGGATTTGGGCTGGTGTCTTCTCTTACTCTGATTCTGCCCTGGGATTTACATTCTGTATCAGGGCTCTCTCCTCAAAACACAGCAACGCAGGAAAGATGCTGACTATTGTTGTTGAGGTCATTTCACTGAGTACTCACAAAAAGATGGAGAATCTAGTTTCTTACCTGCAAACAGGTGGTATTCATTAAGAATATAAATACATAATACACATAAATATGTATTTAAGCGTATATAAGAGCACATAAGGAAGAATGTAAGAGCACATACAGAATCACAGAATCACAGAATCGTTTAGGTTGGAAGGGACCTCTGGAGATCATCTAGTCCAACCTCCCTGCTCAAGCAGGGTCACCTAGAGCATATTGCCCAGGATCACATCCAGACGGGTTTTGAATAGCTCCAGC